TGTTAATTTATGACGATGGAAGGATTCAGCTCATCATCTTCAGCTAACCCTCCCCCCCCCCCATTCTCAGTTATTCGATTAAGGAAACTAGATAATCCTATTCTTGCAATCTCTCTAGAAGGAAATCAATAAAAAATGACCATCAGTGTTATCCTTCGCATACACGGATTTACAGGTAAGTCAATAAGATAGAACTCAAAAGAAACACCAGTGATGCATTTTATATACAATCAGGCTGTCTCTTTCATCTGTGAATTTCAGCTGATCATGCTATTCACTATATGGAAACATTTGCTGAGTGAAAATAACCTAATCTGAAACACCATAGTGGGTGTCGTTTTAAAATCTCACCGGCTTGCAGAACTGCCTTACCTTAGACTTTAAGTGGTAATACTACTACTACTACTACTACTACTACTACTACTACTACTACTACTACTAATAATAATAATAATAATAATAATAATAATAATAATAGTTGCTTCATTTCAAACAACATATATGACATGATGGAATTCTCAGCATGTTATATTTCAATAAATTCACTCCCAGAACAATACTTAAAAGAAACGGTTATTGCATCGGTATGATGTTAATAATAAGAGTATTTAAAGTAATAATGTGGAATAATTACCTGGTTCTATATGGGCATCCGGTCCATAGTGAAGAATCAACACAAATGCAAGCATAATTTTGGTGGTAGCGGTTGATTCAGATGGTACGAAAATCTGCAACTCAAGCTAAGAATCTGATGGATAGAAACATGATGTACTTTTTTGCACTGCAAAGTTCACTTCCATGTGACTTGACATTTTCTCTCTGCTTTGTTATTGACTCGAGAAACGGAGGGGAGGGGGGGGGGTGAGGCTAAAAGTTATCCCCAGGTGTTATAGATATTCTGCGTGAAAATAAGTATTTTCGGTGTTTTGGAAGCATTTATTCTGAAGTGAAAACTGGAATCGTCAGTCCTTTTTGTTGTGATTTCAGGGCTCAATTACCTGATTTTGATTTGTGAGCATCATTCTTCATAAATAAATGTACCGACATCCTAAATATGAGGTGGAGGTGCAAACAATACTTTGCACACGAATAAACAGCGTGAAACAGAGGGAGTTTTAAAAACTAAACAAATAGGTAAACTATGCATACAATATACAGAAAATAGGTGAACTGGCACACAGGATGCTATATCCCATAACAAGCATGATAACCCCCGGGGATAACTCTTAGCCCATCCAACGGAGAGTTGAAAACACTTTAAAACAAATTGAAAGAAAGAACTTGATGAAAAATGTTCGATGGATAAATATGGTAGCCTAAGGTTCAAGCAGGCCGTTGTCGAAAAGCTTACATCAGCACTGCTCTTTGAGTGGTCCTATCAAACCGTAATTCATATGAAGTCATTTGAAGCAACAAATGGCTTGAAAAATAATTTTTGTGACCTCAGTTCCTGATTGACTTAGATGCTGAATTCTGAGCAATTTCAACACTGACATTACCGTTTTTTTTTGTAAGTTTTCCAGTGATTCTAAAGGTGGACTTCACTAGCATTTGATAACAAAGATCAACTATTGAAGAACACATGGATTACTGAACAGTTGTCTTCTTCTACTTTTAAATCACGTTGACCATAAACTCATTTGTGGCTCAGTAAATCGAGGAAACTTTGTACGCTTTCTGTAACTATCCAGCTGTTACTGATGACTGTAACGCATTTGATAATGAGGAAGACCTCTTTCCAAATGAATGGCTTTAAAATCTGAGACTTTAGCATCTTAAACAACGGATGGTTTACTGGATTAAGATGTCGCTATGAAAATTGCATTTGCTTGTATCTATTATTGAGTAAAAATTGGCAACAGTACTCGATTCCCAGATGTTAATTGACAATACATTGACTAATTAAACCAACCTACCACTCATAAAAAATCTTAAGTCAAAATAACGCCGAAGGGAGATATCTATTCCTCTGGAACCAGTTAGCAAATCACCAGCAGTATCATTCCTATGTGAGTGGGCTTCGGACTGACTGGTTGGTTCAAAATCTTAAAGGTCAATGTCCTGCGGTCTTACAATTTTTAAAAGTAGTTGGTGAAAAAATTTTTAAGTGTAGATATTTTAGACACAACCAGACACTACTGGTACCACGATATACAAGCAGTGCTACGAGGGCAATGTTGGCTGAACATCTAAAGGATTGTCATACCCTCCTTACTTGAGGGGCATGTTTCAAAGCCATATGGTAGAGCAGAGAGAACTGTGGCGCAGTACAGTGTACACTCAGTAGGCAATCAAACATCACGTCGGTATTATATATGGTGTGGGTTAGCGAATGTCAAGCCAGTCTTTTGCATCCACATGGGCACTTCTTCGGTCACTATGGATTCGAATAAATGTTTTGATAACACCCAATGTAGACGATGTGGAATCCCAATCACTCGAGAAGGTGTTAGATACTGACAGGAATCTAAGTCTAAACAAAACCTTTAACTTAAAATTACAAAAAAAACATTTTAACCATTTTTATTTTCACTAGTTAATAATTCATAATCAGGTAAGTGAGTAATTATAAGTAAAAAAACAGGTTTTTCAGTTAGTAGTTAATGTACTTTTGTTCAAAGTATGTGCACATCAACTTGTTGTGTCTTTTTTCTCTCTCATAATTAACTGCCTAAGAAAATAAGTTACTATTCAGCTTCAGCCCTTTCTAATTCAACCATCAAACTATTCAACCGCTGATCTTCGACAAGAACCGAATCCTTCAAAAAAGGAGATCTTTATCCCTACAGAGCAATTAAAAAGTATATTCATTTTACGACCAAATAATAAAGACAAAGGAGACAGATTGGGAGACAAAAGTACACTGAAGAGAGTGAGATAACTTTAAAAAATGAAAAAATAACTGTTCTCATTCATATAATAATAATGACGGCTTTAACAAGTCAAATACAGAGTGAATTCTGCGATTATGAGTGATGAAATGGTGTATGGTAACGCTAAGATTGTTATTGCTATGATGATTATTGAAGAAGAGAATATTTCGTCTGCTTTGTGATTTCATGACACACTGGGGAATGACTAGATAATACAACTCTTCTCTTTCATACACTTACAGATGTATACACTATACATCTTGACACCTTGGTGCTTAAATTCATGAGTATCTACCGTGTGTTTGAGTGAACATAAAGGAGATGGAAGACGGGAAGTAACAAAATTAAGCATGAAGTCTAGACACAACCATAAACTAAAGTTGAAATAAAACTATGCACTCGACCTGATAGAGTTGAATAAGTTGAGCATCGGAAAATGGAATATGAATGAAAAATATTTTTAAAATCCTAATCAGGTAGAAAAATAAATTCCTGACATTTCACGACCTTATGGAAATCGCTTCTTCACAGAATAATACCTGTACAAGTTATCACATGTTTAAGTAGAAAGTGGTGACAATTCAGATCACGTAATTCATGCATGATAATAACATTGGAATGAATGTCATCGTTATCATTTATAAGTCCGTGAGGTCAAAGTGAAGATGTGAATGTGTGGACATATGAGTAAATATGAAGGTGAGAGGGAAAATATTATGGATGAAGAATTCAGTTTGTGTGTGTGTGACTATGTACTTCATCTATGACTAGTGTGTGTAATGTGTTATTACAGACATACTGACCACGTTGGTTGGATAGTTAAGCCTGCCTTCTTGTTGAGTGCATTAGGATTCAGTATAAAGTGAAATGTCTCAGTCAGTCATCCGTCTTCCTTGAAGTTTGTAATCATTTTGACACTTTCAGTGTTAAATTTGTGGCTATGTAAGATGTCATGAACAGTGATTGCCGATTTGATGAGTGAATTCTCTAGTTCTACAAGATTATTTGGAGATTGTTCTGTGTAACTTGCATTTCTTTTCAAAGCTTTGACGTCTTAATTACATTTATATTGCATTTATCCGCTTTCTATTATTTAGTAATACACAATTATAGAGCTTCTTCAATCTTTGACCTAATTTAACTACTGAAAAATCCCTTTGGATGATTTTTTTATTCTCGATATTCTTCTATCCTTTTGTTACCGTAAGGAATATTCCTAGTTACGTAATCCGTATTCCTATTGTTATTAGCTGACAAGTCAGTATAAATGGTATTTTTTGTAAACACTTATCCAGGTAGTGTACATTAGAGTAAAGCTAGTTACCAATGTAAGTGAAAACAATATTTCTCCCTTATTTGTCTTGTTATAGGTGAAAGGAGTAAAATATACTGAATCTATGCGAAAAAATAAATATCACTTCGTAGGCAGCTGTATTGTATATCCAACTCAGAATGGGTTTCAGAAGATAAATATGTGAAAAAGGCAGTCACAAGAAGTAACAGTAGACGGGTGTTTGAATTCATTAAGTAAGTTGGGTTGAAAGTCATGGGAAGATGGACTGGTGATTCTGTTTCTAGGGAGACGATTGGAATCATAGGTAGAACACTGTTTGGAACAAATCAAACGTCATTTAGCTGTCTTCATTAACCCATTCTCTAAATGAAACCTGAATAGCAAATTGTCATACTAGATTTGTTTGTTTGACATAGCAAACAGTTTAATATAGTATTACTTATTGGATGAGTATAAATTGTTACTTATAATCATGTCAAAGTAATTACACACCTTTTAATGTCTGATTTTGTGTGGCTACATTGATGCTACGAGTTATAAATGCACATATCTTCAATGACGTTTTAATGAGTTTGATTAAATACAAAAGACAAAAGGAACAGAAGTGCGCAATGATATTTTCGTCAACCAGTTTTGTTTGTAAGTAAATAACTATGGATTAAATTACAGGGAAATGGAAAAGAGGGTTAGTGAGAAAAAGACGGAAACAGAAAAACGCAAAACAATCTTCAAATTATATCACATTACTTATCACAAAATGTTTGTTAAAAAATCTGTTGATAAATAAATGTTAACTCCTGTACAGGTAGTTTTTTCAGCTAGTTATGTGATGGCTGTCGTACATATATTTTAAACATCTTCAAGACTATGCGCTTCAACTTGATGATGGAGTACTGTCATTTCATCGGTGAATTCCTGAAATAAAAAAGAAGTTATATTGTGATTTCGTGAAATAAATTCATCCCACTGACATCTGTATTGATAGAAGCAAGAAAAAAGATTTACCATAGTAAGCGCATATTGTATAGCTTTCAGCAATTCAAAAATTCCCATTTAGACATTTAGAAAACAAACAATTTGAGCAAAAAAATATTTCTTTTTAACCAGCTCCTCAGTAACAATTTAGGGTTCGTATCTTTTATCAACCAGTTATCGTCACTAGACTGGTATGTAATTTCTGAAATTTATTAGGATGTCATCAATGAGGAGCCCATTTAAAAGAAATATACAGTTTTACCAAACGGTTTAATAATACACAGACTGTGTGGAACTGCTCCAGTTACGCTTTCAACAAACTCGGAATTAAAGACAAATTAGACTGCTGATAGGTCACTGCACTCATAAATTCTCTATATAGTTGAAGGCAGCCGACTAAAAGCTCTCCCTAACCTACACCTTTTGTGCTTATTAATGCGCATCAGAAAGATGTGTCTACAAACTCAGAAGAATTAAGGCTGCTTCAAGTATTCAGACCCATATCATTCAGTGTTGTGGTCGAAGAAGTTACAACTGACGTATTAGGACCATGACCCGACTATTCAGCACCAGACAAACTACACAGCAAGAGCGAATGTCTTAGCTTGATGACTGAATTACGAACTTGATAAAATTTCCTCAGTATTTAAGTCTACATAACAGACATTGGTTACTGTCCAGTAACTGATAGGTAAATATTTGAATTTAGTTGGTTATATTGGACGAGTTACTCCAGCTACTGTTCTAGATGCTTTTTTCCTCTGTGCGAGAATATATCTCAGTACCTTTGAGCAATAGGGTAATAAATCTGTACTTCTCAGATATTTAACCCTTCTTTTCTCAAATATTTCTCTAGGAGAACTGCAAACCAAATCAGTTTGATTTTTAAATGTCACACCACTTGAGTATTAAACAAGAAATGCAATGAAATTCAGGGATTTGATATATATTTCGTCTTATGGCACGTGAGTTGACGCAGGTGATGGGAAGATCAGAACTCCATTTTCGTAGATTCCGATTAGATGCCTGCAAAATACACAATCCGTGGTGAAAAATCTCACTAAGGTATTCTATGAAAACCAAATATTAAAATCACATAATCTACTTGATACAACATGTGGCATCAAGATTGCAAGTATGAAGCTGAACGTTATAGACCACTGACTGAAATAAGTAGCTGTAGACCACTCACGTCGATCAGGAATGCTTGACATCTAAATCAATGTGTTCTAAACACCAGGAGGTCATTTCACTCTTTAAGGATGTGAGTGGTCTATAACTACTCATATCAATCGGTAGTCTATTTTATACAGCTTAGATTACTTGTTTTTTAATAACTATCCTCCGTAATCTCAGGTTAAAATCATGCTATCTGAGATACTTGAACCTTATCATTTTGAGATTTATCCGACTATTGGGTTACAGAAATCTGCGGTACTTGTTTTAGTAAACCCAAGTCTAGATTTCTCCCAATTTAGATTCTTCCTATTCATCACCCCGAAACTTTTTGCACCGTGTGCTGAAAATCAAATATAACTTCATTACTCTTTGTATTTCGTAAACGTCACTACAGAAAACTTTAGATAAATGTAAATATTTCCTATTTTTTATTCTGTAGAACAGCTGGTAAACCCAAACCAAAAGTCAACGCACACGTGTGTCGTTCTGATATACGTTCTGCCAGGAGACGAAATGACGAAATTGACCGACGTTTCACTTGTGGCTTTCTGGATCATGTGTGTGTAGTATTTGAAACCACAACTATGATCAGTTTTGCTGAACAAGAGTTGATCAACGAAATGCCAATAACACTCGCAACTTGACAGTCTGATGTCGACTACTCTCGTATTAGATTTTGTTTTAAACAGATAATATTATAGTATGCTAGTATTTTATGTCAATGATAAATTTGTTTAAATGGCACCTTTTGTGGCGACGGTAACGTTTATAGTCAGACATAGTGAATACCAAGCACTCTCCATTTTTTGTGCTGACATTCATTTATGCTATTTTAAACATTTTCTCAGTTTATTAATTCATTAATCCAATACTTTGTGTTTTATTTTAGTAGAAATATTCTCTGAGATGAAACTTTGTAAGGGCGAAGCTTTAAATAATGTTCTAATCAGCATCTCAATAAACCTTGAAAACTTAAATACATTTTGATTTTCTCACGAGTTTTATCTGAATCTGTTCTATCTGGTTGCTTACTGGTTTGGAGTTGTCATCTCAAGGTTAGTGGAATTTTTCTTATTGTCGTCATCAGTGATAGCTCTGTCCCAAAGACTATTATCTCATCTGTGATGAAATATTCACATGATGAGTTTAAGATAAGTCGTACTACACATCTTTTGTCTAACTGACTTCAGTGACATGGAATAATGAATCCTGTGCTTGTTCTACCCAGGTCTGTATTAATTATTTTTATCTTCGATAGCATTACCCTCAAACATATCATGTTTGAATTGATAAATTCTCGTTATGCTCATGACCATATATATGAGAGAGTGATTATCTAAGTCGGTTTCCAGTTTATTGGTCCATCACCTCGGCCACCAAGTTAATAGGCTCAACTATCAACCAGGTTCGTATTCAGTAACGCATATCAAAATATATCCGGACGAAAGTATTCAGAATTGTCAACGTTTATAGGGTTGTACGTATTATGGTATCTGTCATGTTAACGAAGAGTTTTCCAATAGTCTCCATATATGTGACTCTACTTTTAAAAAGGTGTCCATTATATTGAGCTCTTCAGTGATAAGTTATTTAAAGTGATAGAGAACACAAATTTTCTTTCATTCTGATGACTTTCGATTAATTTTGATACTGGGTTATAATGCACCCGGATTCTGCGACGAAAGTCCTTTTACGTTTGATGTCATCTGAGCTTCACTACTGGTTATTTAAAAATTAATATATACTGACATCTGTGTATGACTAACTATTGCTTCAAACTATTCACTGAAGGAATTCAGACGCATATGAAATTTACTCACCACGTTTCACTGAACTGGTTCCTGGTACCTGGATTATTTATGATATAGTCCTCATGATACAGAAAACATTGAACTCCTTGACCCTATGCTATTTTTGCAAACGTTTTACAGCTGATAGACTCAAGTAATAGATAAGTACTGAAATCCTATTATTAGCTAGTTCATGTTGGCTGAAAGTTTGGGGAATCAGAAAAGTTCGACGTGGTTGCTTCTAAGTAATTAAATGTGCTATTTTGCTTTTGGTGAACAAGTTTTGTTTATAGACAGCTTCAGGTGTAGACGTACTAATTTGCCTATTCTGCCTAGTTTCCTGTATATTTTTTGGGAATAACGTGTATATCCAGTAAGACAATCAGATTCATCAAGCTGGAACTTCCTCTAGACGTACTGAGGTACCCTGGGTATCACCGGCTTTCCAGGAATAGACTTACTGTCATAACACCATCTGGTAAACCGATGATATACTCCTGGTAAGCGGAACGACTGACGAAATGTGAAATCTTCTGAACACCTTGAGCGGAAATTCGAGGATTTTTGGCATCCATTTCGCACATCTAAGGTGTAAGGTAATATCTCAGGACTAGCTTGTGTTTACTTCTAATTTTGAAAAATAAGAACTGAGGTGGTTGAATGCATTGAACACCTCCCTTAGGGAGTTCCGTCAACTTGAAATGGCTGGTCAGTGATGAAATTGCAACTAGGATACGAAAGACTTTCTCGTCATTTGTCAACTTATCCTATCTATGGAGTCAGAAGATATCCGACTACCGATTAAAAGATGTGGATATTGAGCAACAGTTCATCCCATCTTTTGATAGGTAGAAGATATGAAGATATTGTAGGCTTTCCACCATATGTGTCCTCATAGTGTTACTTAAATCTGATGTGAACAATCTCAGGTCAGGGGTAGTTGAAGAGTATGGGGTTAGGAATTCAAGTCACTTCATGAGTTTGTGAACTTTCACCGAATAAAATGCCTCACACATGTGTTGCGCATATCATGCGACATCCTAACTCGACATTAAATATTAGCCGAAATAGATTTCATTTGAAAGAAGGCTAAAGATGGTTATAATAAAATGTAGCATCACTCGTAAAAGTCTTTGACTGTTAGTTTGAGCCATGTGTAGAGGTGTAGGATGCTTAGTTGGGGTTCGCGAGACCACAGGAACTAACTGTTGAATACTCTTAGTGATACGGTTGAAAATCTGTTATAGTGGTGATGGTGTATATACTCTTTGTCATCTTCGAAGTCTTGACTAAATATTTCCACTAGCCTTCATATATTTATTCTTTCAGCTCTCATAAATGTTTGTCCATTTTAATATCTTCTTTCCAATCCACTTCTTCATTGTACGCTGCCGTGAAGTATGGTGACTTGAAATGAAACACTTCTATGCTAGCTTCTAAGTTGATATTTCTGCAACTTCCTGCACCGAGTTAATTTGTGACCCTGTATGAGAAAGACAAATACAAGATACATGAGTTGGTGAAGGTTCACAACTCCATTGACTGTATTGCCTTTCCAAACTATTGTCCTAATAGTAACCTCTACATGTTCACTCCATGGCCCCTCTACATACCACCAATGCCACAATAATAGAAATTCTGAAAAACTATAATTTAATAATATATTACACCGTGGATGGTGGTATCTCACAGTTACAGAAGAAAACAGGGAAAACTGCTGCGTAGTATTCTCAACCTTTGATTTGCAGCGGAATACTTCATGGGTGTCAAAGATGGTATAAAATAGCAAATTCTAAACTTGTCTCTTAAAGTAGAGCTCTTATATTTGCAGTAGCCAGCCCATTAGGATGAAGGCAGCCTTCCAAATAAATGAATTGATCAACACCTTTCACCACTTTGTCCGTTTTAAAAAAACTAAACTTTGGTGCCAACCAGTACCAAATCATACGACAGGTGTGAAATGCAAGTCAAAATATTTTCAGTTTTCACCCACAGTATTTACCAAACTCTTCATTTTTTGGCAATTCCGTTTAAGGGAAGAAAATAATTCCGCCCAATCTTCTGTTTTAAGTATAGTAGTTGCGGAATGCAATTTGTTTGCAGAATTTCAACAGACATCAAAGAACATTTGCTGAATTACTGCTTCTTTGACAAAATGAAATTAATACAAGGTTTTATGGCATCCTTTATCATAGACTTCATGGTATCAATCAGTAAAAAGACCACTGAAAACGAGTGAGTAATGGACACATGTTTCGTCTTAGTTAAAGGCTCTTCAGAAGGGCATAATGACCACGCAAGTCAGATTGCATCATCGTTCGTCTCCCTAACCGATATTATTATTATCCAGAATACTAAAATTTGGTTGTTTTCCACAAATATTTGAATGTTATAAGTTTTGGTGCTTGGTTAATTTTTATGTAATTAATAAACAGTGATGTAAGATAATTCATTTCAGTGACCTGTCATTCGACTTACTTTTAAGCATATATGACACATTTTAGAAGCTTTATAACTATCCACTCTGGAAGCAATTTCATGCGGTAACAAACCAAGAACGGGATGTGAACGTAATAAAAACACGCAGCTAGGTACAGATTCATGGATATCTTGCAATAGTTCAGTAGGCTTATTAGATGAAGAACATTTTCCGTTCTCAAATTTGTCTGGTTCAGAACAGCTGCTTTTCTGGTTTGGTCCTTCTTGAATTTCAAATTTCTTTTGAAACTAGTAAAAAAAGAATGATATGTTTACATAAAATGTAAATCACTTTTCATATTAAATTTAGTGGGAATATTACCTTCTTTACCCTAAATTTCAACTTATCCCACTTATTTATTAATTTTAATGTTTACTATAACTGTGAACTGTTAGCATCTGAAGAAAATTTATGAAATAAAATTTGCCTATTTTATTCTGCAAACCTGGTTGTTCTTGTCTTGTTGAGTTTTATCAAGGAAAGAAAATGCATCCATCTCTGAATACAGACACAGACAGAACACATCAACATGCCTATAGGCATTACTGCTTAACGGTCCAAATTAGCACACTTCATATCGGTACACCGAGCTAGAATGGGAGAGAAAGAACTCAGAAGGAAGTCAGCCATAAGCGGTGGAAAGTCGTGAAGAGGCAATAAGAAGGTTTGAGATAATAGTGAAATACAGTATGACTATTAAGATGAAGATAATGTGCGAACTGATTTGTACCAGTGACATAGATTCTGAGCCATACCATCTATAGTCTCCAATCACTGGTTTCTCTTGCCGTGGAGACCCGAACCAAAAAGGTTACATTCCCCTACACGGCTCCGACCAACGGAATGACACCTGTGTGGAGATATGACTCACTGGTCTAGAGAGATGACTTTCAGCCAATGGGTTGTGGGTTTGAATCCAGCTCCACCTACCGACGTTTGAAAAGCCAGTTTTTATCACTAGCCCTCACACAATAGGTGTGGCTCGTTGCTGAATACTCGTATGTGCACAAGATTACTGAGAGCATTTTAATTTCTGGTTCTAGCTCGCAGTGATGCCATGGTTTACTCTGGCCGCCTCCAACCTTTTTCCAGCCTAAATCTACTTTAGCCAACGAGACGGACGTAACTAGGCATGCTTAACACACACCTCAGCCACCTGGGTTAATAAAGGTTCTCAGCCCTATTGACTAACTTTCTTTTTCTCCCTAAGACTCTAGTGCTCATTTCTAAGTTACTGATGTGGTGGACATATGGTCACGCGTAAGCCATAGACTATCAAAGGACTGTAATCTCTGACCAATCAGATGAAATGGTTTGCAAACACTTGCCTTCTCTTTCATAAGCAACCAGTAAATGGCTCACAAATGTTATGAAGTTCAGAGTCAAGGACGTGCGGCAACTATTAGTAGGTACCAGCACTCGGAACTTAGTACATATACCGGTTCCTATTCCAAGAACAATTCTTATTCATATAAGGCTTATTTAATTATATGAAGTAACCTCGCCTGGTTAACTAGTTTACTAGTTACTAGCCGGTCCTAAGCCCGGGTAAAGAGGGAAGGTTGGGCATAGGGCTAGCAACCCTACCCCGTAAAACAAATCTAACCGCTAAAGAAACTTCAAAGCACAAACAAAATATAAAAAATGAAAACAAACTTATTCCCCGCTGGAATCGGAGAGGCGAAATGACGCCAGTTGGTGAAAGCCTTCGGGAAGCCAATTGGCCGATGTGTCTTCTCTCGATGAAAGCGAAAGTAAACGTGGGGACATGGAATGTCCGCACGATGTTTGAACCCAGTAAGGCAGCCCAGATTGCAAAGGAGATGAGAAGGTATAACATCGAAGTGCTTGGGATTTGCGAAAGCAGATGGAATGGGAGTGGACTCTCCAAACTGTCAACTGGAGAATCAATAATCTACTCCGGTCACCCAGACGCCAACCACGAGCACACTGAGGGAGTGGCTATCATGATGTCCTCAAGAGCATCGAAGGCTCTCATGCAGTGGGAACCAATCTCCTCCAGGATCATGACAGCAAGATTCAACTCAAAAGGAAGAAAGGTCACAATCATACAATGTTATGCACCTACAAATAATGCAGAGCAAGAGAAAAAGGAGGAATTCTACAGACAACTTCAATCAACACTGGACAAGACGTCAGTTGGCGATATCAAAATTCTAATGGGCGACATGAATGCCAAACTGGGAGGGGACAACACGGGAAGAGAACTAACCATGGGTCGAGAGGCACTAGGTGAAATGAATGAGAATGGAGAATTGTTTGCAGAATTCTGCGCATTCAACGATTTGGTGATTGGAGGCAGTGTGTTCAGGCACAAAGATATCCACAAAGCGACATGGATTTCACCAGATGGACACACTAAAAATCAAATCGACTTTATCTCAATCTCAAGAAAATGGAGACGCAGTCTACTTAACACAAGGTCAAGAAGAGGAGCAGATGTAGGTTCAGACCACTACCTAGTGCAAGGAACCTTCCAAATCAAGTTAAAAGCCTTCAAGGAAGCTGGTGATAGACCTCAACCCAAGTACAACACTCGGAAACTGAAGGATGAAACTACAAAGGAGATCTTCAAGGCAGCCATCAAGACAAAATGGGAGACGTCGAGGGACATCCCTGAAGAAACCTGTGTGGAAGAACACTGGAAGTCTTTGAAAGCTATGTGGAAAGAAACCTGCACAACAGTATTAGGAAGGAAGAAGAAAGAAGACAAGGAATGGATCTCGACGGATACCTGGAAGCTGATAGAGGAGAGGAGGATGGTGAAGCAGAAGATAAACCAGTGCAAGGATGCTCAACGACAAGAGGAACTGAGCACAATGTATAAAACACTGGACAAAGAAGTGAAGAAGAGTGCACGCAAAGACAAAAGACACTTCTACGAAACACTGGCAAGTGAAGCAGAACAGGCTGCAGGTAAGAGAGACCTGACGACATTGTATCAAATAACCAGGTTGCTATCAGGGAATAGACCAACACAGATGAAACCAATAAAAGATGAAGAAGGAAATTTAATTACGAAAGAAGAGAAACAGAGGAAACGATGGGCCGACCACTTCAAGAAGCTCTTGAATCGACCACCACCTGCACTTCGTCCAGAAATACCACCTGCAGCCGCTGAACTACAAGTGAACATTAATCCCCCAACGAAAATGGAAGTCCTGAACGCCATAAAGCTACTGAAATGCGGGAAAGCAGCAGGACCAGATGGAATACCGCCAGAAGCACTGAAAACAGATGCAGAGACAACAGCGGCCATGCTCACACCACTATTGCAGAAGGTGTGGAAGGAAGAGAAGGTACCTGACGATTGGAAGAAGGGTTACCTTGTCAAACTGCCGAAGAAGGGAGACCTCAGTGCTTGCAAGAACTGGCGCGGAATCACTCTCCTGTCCACCCCAAGTAAAATATTAAGCCGCATCATCCTGGAGAGGCTAAGGGATGCACTGGATTCAAAACTACGACCGGAACAGGCAGGCTTCAGGAAGTACAAATCATGTGCAGACCAAATTGCAACGCTTCGTATCATCATAGAACAGAGCATAGAATGGCAATCACCTCTCCACCTCAACTTCATCGACTTTGAGAAGGCCTTTGACAGCGTCGACCGAGAAGTAATTTGGAAACTGCTTCAATACTACGGAGTACCGCAAACCTTTATCCGCCTCATTCAACAACTATATGAAGATGCTACATGCCAAGTAATCCACAATGGGAAGCTCAGTGATGCCTTTGAAGTGAAGACAGGAGTGAAACAAGGTTGCCTACTATCCCCCATGATATTCTTGATTGTGGTGGACTGGATCATGCAGCAAACAGTAGGCAGCGAGAAGAGGGGGATACACTGGACGACGGAAAAGAACCTAGAAGACTTGGATTTCGCCGATGACTTATGCCTAATGTCACATAAACTTGAAGATCTGCAGGCAAAAACTAACAAGTTGATAGAAGAGGCAGCGAAGACGGGACTTCAGGTGAATATAGAGAAGACAGAAGTGATGAAGATACCGCACCACCACCATAAACAACAACAACAACAAACTCCAATCACCGTCAACGGGAGAAACTTAAAGGAAGTAACCTCCTTCACTTATCTAGGAAGCACTGTTTCAACTACAGGCGGGACGGACGAGGACGTCAAAGTCAGAATCGGAAAAGCAAGACAGGCGTTCATCAGCCTGAAACCAGTGTGGAGATCTTCTGCACTCAGCATGCGGAACAAGATACGGATTTTCAACACCAACGTAAAGTCAGTGCTCTTGTATGGCTCAGAGACTTGGCGCGTCACGAAAGGTATTTCCAATAAACTACAGACATTCATCAACAACTGCTTACGCTCGCTGCTGAAGATCAGATGGCCAGAAAAAATAAGCAACAAGGAACTCTGGGAACGAACCAACCAAGAACCTATCACGCAACAAATATGCAGGAAGAAGTGGAGATGGATTGGCCATGCACTGAGAAGGCCGACGGAGGACATCACGCGTCAGGCCCTCGAGTGGAATCCCCATGGGAAGCGACGAGTTGGACGTCCGAGGGTGACATGGAGGAGGTCGTGCGAGCAGGAAATGAGAGCTTCTGGGCTGTCGTGGGACCAGGTTCAAAAGATCTCAGAGAACAGAGGTCACTGGAGGCGTGCTGCTGAAGCCCTATGTTCCACTAGGAACCCAAGGGACTAATAATAATAATTATATGAAGTGAAAAAAGCTTACTTTCTCAGAAAAAAATATGCTCAAAATTGGTCAACTTTATGAAATAGTGACTTACATTAGAAGTAGTTGGTGATGATGATGTTGATAATGGTGATGATACTAAGAATGGTGTACATTTTTCACTATTTGATATCATACTTTCCGTACATTGGTTAGTAGTTTGTTCAGGAATTTCCGGCTGCCTGTTTAATGGCTCCTCTATGTTTGATTGCATCAAGTTAACAGACCATAAACTTGGCCAAAGTACCATACTGAGAAAATGAATTAAAGATTGTGTTTGACAGACACAATTTATGTTCGGTTTATCCATTATATTTTCATTATTGTCTTGATGATTAAACCTTCTCTATTCAATCCATTATCTACTTGTTTATTTAAATTACTCAGGTCACATTGTTCATTAGTTGTTGAATGGTGGTTGCTTGAATATTCATTTAAAGATGAACTAATTTTGTTTTTAATGAATTTGTTAAGATTCTGAACAGAATTCTTTTCTTTAATCACTGTGTTCATTGAACGAATGTTATGTAGTCTAGGTTCAGTATTCCAAATACCGTTTACACTGTGGCATTTAAGTGAATTGTTTTCATTCGCGTTGCTTGATAGTACTGCCGAATTTACATCAGTATTATTGGTGACGGTAGTACTACTGTCACTAGCATGAAAAGTATTATCACTTCCTCCGTCTACTGGCTTTGTTGGTGAAACATGCCGGCATAAGATATGTACAAGACACTGAATCCGATCAGTGAACTTCTCCCCACATCCATTACAATAGTAATAAGTTAATAGATGTTTGTTTTGTAGATGATTCTACCAAAGATTAGCAAAGAAAGAAAAAGGAATTTATTTATCTTAGGCATTTTAAATCAAGATGTAATGGTAGTATCCATCGCAAAACTTATTATTGATAAAGTTTACAGAATTGATATGAAAACAGACTTTACAATTTTGTATAGAAATTGTCAGAGGCGTATAATTAGGTTTGTTGAAGGGCTAACCACACACAAATTCAAGCCCCGTCGTGTATTCAAAAACACTTTGTTCTTATGCCAAACCTACTATGGTAATACTTAGCTTATTGTATTATCAGGGTTGTCTTCAAATCTTATCATTCCCCCTTCATTCATTATTAAATTCCTTTATGTCATATTTATCCTTCTCCCACTTCCAGTTTTCATATATCAAGTAAGTGTGATCAGATTGTTCAAAGGTACGGAGAAAATCCATCACACCTTTCAAATAATCAACGTCTTCTGATTACGTCATTCGAATTACTACATGTTATTTGATTAGCACATATTTCCTCATTTTTAGCTTCACAATGAGATGAAGGTAGTTTTGAGGAAGTCATGTAGGATAATTATGGAAAGTCAGTTCACAAGTAATACAAACAAGGAGAACATAAGATCATCACCGTATTCGTACACGTTTACAGAACTCCTGGGTAACTTAGATTTCTGTTTTCATAGTGGAGAACCAATGGAAACGTTACTGGATTTATTATTCGCCGAATTTTCTAGATGAGTCAATAATCAGGGCTCATTCATCTTGATTTCCTTGTGTTTATTCCTCTTCGTGTTTATTCTGTGAACTGCCACGAAAGTTATCATTAATACCTTTCGTTAGATACAACAATAATCAAATTACTATTCATAGTTTATTGAATTAGGACGTGTTGACAGAACTGTAACACTGAGTTCATCATTCCATAGTGTCTTTCCTATTCCTATTTTTATTGTGTAGTCAATCTGAAATTCATTACTTTTTTCTAGTGAACTGCTACTTTACTTTCCATTTTTATTAATCCTTTGTAGATGGGAATATTCAAATACAGTTTCTGAATACATGTATGAAGACGGATATTTTTAAAAAGGCCACAGAAAAGAGAACCTTCTTGAATTAGAGCTACTCACTTCCAGTGATCTACCCAGGTATGGTACTAAATTGTAGTTTCTGGAGTAACCAGCTTCCCTGAAACAATACTGACGAAGATGATACCAGAAAATTACCAGAACAAGACGAGCACAGTTGGAAGCATTAAATTCTTTGATAACTATAAGTATTCTTCACACTTATATTCTAAGATCTATCTCATATGCATATCACAAACGACACTTACAAAAGGGACCAATTTCTTGGTGATTCTTAGGTTGTTTGAATGATATACAGTTAGAATAAAATAAAAGATATTAGACGTGAATATTAGCATTTCACGGTTCAAATGATAGAGTAGCGGGCAAATAATCTGAAAGTTTCTGGTTGGAGTATTGCTGAGATCAAGAATCCGGTTTGAAACTCTGTGATTTTCTTTAGCCTACAGTCTCAGGTCTGCCATCTTCCAACCACAGCTGTTTCAAACACAAACTTGTTTGCTTTTATCCATCAACTGTCTGATATGATTGGAAAAATATGTCGACGTTGCAGGCAGTCAGTACGAAGCAACTACTCATGTTGAGTTCCAGATGGCATTCTGATGAAACAGATCACCATGTGGTGGTACAGTTGAGTTTGTATCATGCAAAGCATCATATAAATTTACGAAACAGTTGACGTTTGAAGTAGAATATATGACAGAAAAGTAGGGGTGGTAAAAAGTTAAATTAAAAACTGTTTACCAGAGAGACTGATAAGTCTGTCATTGCTGGAATTCAAAGTACCACTTCTGTGTAATAATGATGCAGACCACACACTTACTTTTAGTGTTTAAGGGCTTGATTAGTGTAATCAGTATAAAATTCCTAAAAAGAATAGCATGTACCAGTTGACTAGTTTGTCATATAAATAATTAAAATGATAGTTTTGATTACAAAAACTACTCAGATTAGGATTTCAGTGTATTTTCTAGAGCAAATGATAAGAGAGAGGAGTTCGCTAATGCTGATATGAAAACTTTAATAGTAACCTTGATGTCCTAGCCCTGGTGATCGTTTGATCTCTCTGAGAGGAAAAATTAATTATGTTCAAAGCACTAGCTCACTTATACACCCACCAGTAGCACTGATGTTCTGAAACTATTGAAGACACTCTTTATTCAATGAGACAGTTACACGTACAGTCATGTCATTTCCTAGAAACTTCAAAATGAATCTGACTGATTCTCAGTCTTTTGACGATTTCCAGTTTTTAGTACATTGAAAATTACTATCTAGAAAAATGGAAAAACACTGTCTGACTGGAGAAATATATTCTTTTTCTTCTCTCAACCAGTCTTTTTCTAGATTTCCAGTTTGACATCCTAAAAATAATGCATTTGTATAGTTTGAGGTTTATGGGATTTTATTTGTAAGGTGGTATTCATCATGGTCTGACATCAGTTGGGGAGCCACTGAAAGCCCTAGAATATTGGACAGCTGTTTTGTCCTAGTATGGGACTTCTTGGCAGTACGGACTCACAATCTCGGCAGGGATCGAACTGACAGACGTAGGAAACTGTGGGGCAATGAACTCAAACCCAGTGACTAGGTGGCTCGCGTGTTTTCTAGGAAGCCTGAAGGTCCTCAGCCCGATCCCTGGTGAGGTAATGGGCCTGTACCACCGACGAGTTCCGGACTAGGACAAAATAGCAGTCTAGTGTTCTCAGGTTTTCAATTTTTCTCCAAGTGATGTCGGTTCGTGATGAATACTACCTAAAAGATAATCTATTTCATTAAAAGACATTAAATGGATTGGCATTCTATTAGCTCTTCGTGAATATTTATGTTCATTTGGGTAGTATTAATACTTAGCATTGAATTCCTGTTGAGTGGAATAACAGAATTCCACAATACTGTATTTGAATCTGAGCATTAAAACCAAAAGCTAGGATGCAGTTAAATCTATCTAACAAATCTGAAGCAGTACTAAGTTCTGTCTCCTTCCATTCCACTGTTAGTCAATGATGTCAATGTTCACATGACTTATGACAAGCGATTTCTGCCAAGGTATATTTTATTTCAAATTTACTAGTGTCTTAACTGCTCTTTTTATCCATGGACAAAAGCTTTGACTTCGAATGAGAAAGTGTTCTTTTGTACCATCATAGTCAAATATTGAAATTTTCGAATAATTCAAATTGCTTAAGTTAACTAACCGTCACCGAAATCAGGACTGTTCTGAAATATTAGTTATAAATGATATAAAAAGTAAATGGTGATAACAACGTATTCTGTGACAGCGCCTAAGCATAGTTATCACCGATCTGAAAATATGAAGTTGGTACTTAGACAAAACTTGCTGATAGCAGTTTTAAAAACTGTATCATGGGATTTCCTTAAACATTGAAAAGTGAATCAAATAATTATCGGTAGGCGTTTTCAATAAAGACAAAACTGCAAATGATGGAAACCAATTTGACCAGTCAAGCCATCCAACTATAATACAGATAGCATGCATCTGGGACGCAGTGTGAATGAACATGCTGAGTCCAATAGACAGATTGACCTTGTCAGTACGGAACTGACATATGTGACACTATGATTTAGATGAAGAAAAGGCATAACCATATCTGTGCCAATGTGGTCGATTTCCTATCCACGTCATCCACAGCTGTTAATCATCCGTTTTGGTTATATTAGGAATCCAACGACCAAGAGTCCTGCATTTCTATGTACTCCTCAGACAAACAGTCAGAAACTTCATAGTTTGGTGAACTATCGTTTTCTAGTGGCTCTCATTTTTCTATCAACCTACTTTTGCTAATGTAGTTCAGTAGGATAGATAGTGACTCGGTACGTTTTCACAGATGCATTAAGTTGTGATGAGAATACTAAATCAACTACTGAAGGTTTTGATACTACTTTACATCACACCTGTTGCAGTCGTATGATGTTTCAGCTATACGACTTAACAGCAAACAAACTGGTACATATAAGGTATATTGGCTGTACTCAGCGTTCTCTTTCCAAACGCGTTTCCGAACATGCACTATCCTTGTCCCACAAAAGATAAACAGCAGCACATTGTAGCGCTATTTTTAAACATTTGATCGATTATGGCTACTCATTGAATGCAGAAAACATCTTCAATGTCATCTATAGACTTTGTGAAAGCCTCTTGAAAGGTGTACATCTAAAACTTCCTCAAAACGCGGAAGCCGTGGCAATTAATGTTTTGGAAATTAAATTCTGAGTTAAAAAGAAGTTTGTTTATTAACTTGAGTTGAAATGGACATAACCTGTACGAACATTTTAACCTGAAAATCTTTCTTTTCTCACGTCACATATTACTTTCTTCCCACCCTATAATTCCGATTTTTCATCCCATTCATCAGTCCGTCTAATCATATTACATCATCTTGCCTAGTAACCAAATATTACTCCGATCTTGATAACATTCCTCCTCACTACTATTCTAACCATTACTTAATTCTTGTTCCGATCTGATTTCTAATGAAAATTGAATTTCGTCCAAAAAAGTATTTACTAGAACACTCATTTTCTGCTACCATGTGAATAGAATGTTTATATGCGATTGTAGAGCCTGAGAATAATATTGCTAAAAAGTGATCCTTCGCTAAATATCTTTTGTTTTATGTTGTAAGTATTCTGACCATAATTGTTACGAATGCTTCGGAAGAATTTCAGGGGCAAATCTGAAAAAACACTTCGGTAGAACCATGCCGTGTTTATAAGATCAAAACAAGATTTTCCTGTAATATAAGAAAGTAAAACAAGGGTACTGTGGTACATTATAATCCCACTTTAGTTGATTTATTAGTTGTATCACACGCAGAAACATTATTGTTTACTAGATTAAGTTTCGGACACAATTTATTGTCCACAGTCATATCAAGATATGATTATGACTGAAAGTGTCTTACATTCGATGCAGAAATGAATTATCTGTGCATAATATGAATGTCTTCACTAAGTTTTGAGCACATCCTAAGCAGTGGCTATATCTTTGACCGGTCATGTATAACAATTAAAAAGCTCACGAGAAAGGCAAACAAGGAAACTTATTCATAGTTTTCGCCTGAACTGTTGTACTGGTCGCAAACTGCTAACTTTAATCCCCCAATATTAAGTGATTAAAGCTGGTCAGTAGGAAACCTTGAACCTGCTACAGGCACTTATTGACACTCATCAACAAAAGAACTGTTTACGCGCGAAGAATCTGAGTTTGCAATACTTGAGTCTACAACCACTATGCTATTTGAACCAAAGGATGAATGATTCTGATGAGTTTAAGAAGAAGGTGAAATAACTGATCAATTCATTTGTTCGCTTGGTATCTTATTGAAATAAAAGTCATCACTAAATCATGTTTAAGTACTCCTACATACCATTAGATCTGCAAATTGTCCAAAAGTTGTGAGATTACTGCATATATTACAAGACAATATATTGACGTTTGAAGTACTCGTCTTGACACCACAATTTTCTTCATCTCCTTTAGTGACTATATCTTCGGCAGAGCAGTAATCTTTTAGCATGATTAATTCTAAAAGTCTAGTATTCTCAGGTGTTAAGTGTTCATTGTCAACTGTACTGTTTCTCGTTTCCATATCTACATTACATCTAGTTCCAACATTCTCTTGTAGATATTTGTATGAATCATAGTTATAATTGAAATAATCGGATGAATTCATTGGTAACTGACTGAAGTGTAACGACATATGTTGGGCAAAGATACTGAAATTTGTCGCTTCCATGTGACATATCGGACAAATTAAAATTTCTGATTTGACAGCTAAACATGGTGCACGGTTTGAATTTTGTTGATTATTTTTCATACATAGATTATACTTGTGTGGATAAATTTGAGATCGTGATTTGTGTAGTCTCCGTAATCTTCCACGCTTAACTTTTATCTTGGCTTTATTCAACTTATCATATAAACTTAGGTCAAGTGGTTGTCCATTTGTTCCTGGGACCGATGTAACTCCTTCTTCTTCATTTGCATGTAGGTTATGCATTTTCTGCAAAGAAATCAAACAGTAAATTAAAAACTGGAACTTAAGAAAGTACTTCTGTGTCCAAGAAGAGGTTTCGTTCTGAGATGGAGCTTCGCATGAACACTTTCAGGTGCGTATATTTACTGCGATAACCGGTAAAACATTTGCGGAGGGATTTAAGGAATTCTTGCTGATTCTACTGTCTGAAATTAATCGGTTATTGCACATGAATAGAGAACTCAACCCCAAATCACATCTATCTAACCAGTGAGCGCTACTGATTACCAGTTAACGGTAAGTTTCTATGGGATCTGCTAAAATTTTTACTGTCATTATTGAAGTTCAACAGGGTGCAATTTATGATGTTCCACAATCAGGTTACACCTAGTTGTGTTCTTCGGATATTAGTCATTTTGCTAACTCTTGTGTTTACTATACAGTCAGCATTTTTGGTCTTGAAGCTAGAATTTGCTTTTCATTTTATCAGTGGGCAACCAGCTGACTTACACATATTAACTAGTAAAGTGCAATTTTGAGGCCTGTGGGGAGTCAATTTGGAGTTTCAATCACCTATCGACATCAGTTTGAGGACTCGTTTATTTGAGAGCACTGGACAGTTGTTTCGTCCTAGTTTTAGACTCTCCAGGATTACGTACCCCCAGCCTCATATGGGGTCGAATGCAAGGCTGTCAGGTTTCTTGGCGAGCGCCTTACTACTCACTGAATACATTTTTAACGATTCATCTGTAGAATTCAGAGCTGACGATATTTGTGAATTGTCCGAAAACCATCTACTGTTCCTTTCAGTATTTTGACATAGAACTCATTGGCAAAATGTATCCGAAAACTAGAAGAACTTTCATGCACTATTTCTTAAGTCTCCACTATTGAATGGGCCGCTGTGAGGATCCCTCAGTGCTGCCAAGATTTTCATGACTCACGGATAATGGTTGGCAATGGATTCTAGAATACACTTTTCATCCTATTTTGCACCCGTCAGCTACTACTCAGATTGGAACCCAGGATCAAATGTCAGAGAATAATGGTCCTGTGTTTGAAGCGATAGCTCCTGTATTCAAGTTTTGGTGGCAATAATATAACTCACTATAAGGCACTTACAACCAGCTGACGAGGCCCAAATAGGACAAAACGTGTGTCCTGGATTACACTGCTAGTCACTGTCCATCATTAGTGTCTGAAGTAAAATAAAGCTTCGAGTTATATGGTCATTCATTTATCAGAGAAATAACTTTTTAAAATTACAGCTAGTCAGTTGGATGACAATAAAAATGCGGGAACCTTAGATATCACAGTTTTACACGCTAAAATATGTTGTCTACCACCTCTCTCTGTCTTCCCCGACAATGGTCCTGAAAGAAAAAACACATCGGTGTTGAGTTTAGGCCTAGCTCTTTGAGGTTTGTCCCACAGCATATTTTGAATACAGTGGTATCATATGCCAACATATCTGTGACACGGTGATAAGGAAATTAGGATCAATTGCAGAATAAGCATTACAAAAGCTGTAAATTCATTTTATCACTGATCAAATTAAACATTTTAGAGTTAGCATGGAGATAAAGCACTGTCGAAGGAGTTATGCTTGATAACGACTGGACTGAAGATCAGTTTAGATGTCACTTTCAATGGACAAGAGAAAGCCAACCAAAATTTATGCATTTTATTATATCTTGGTTAGCAGAAGTTTTCAGTCGCAAATCTAACAAACTGAAAGTCATAAAAAGAAGAGTGTAGAGATTCCCTTCAAAAGAATAAGGTATCACTTCGTTACTGTTGTGAAAAACCCAAAACGACCTGTCTTCACGTACTCCTTTTTATTAAACTGGGGTCTATTAGGTTTCGCTTCAACAGATCTCTGTAGATTACAAATCATTCCACTGATAACGCTTATGGCATATCATCATAATAATTAATATACTAATGAGACATTTTCTGGGATTGACATTTTTTGTAAATCTACAAAAAATCTACATCCTGCATGTTGTAGTTCAAATGGAGGTTGCATTAAAACTGAATAGTTCAAATATTTGTTACAGTTGTGAATGGTACTGCATCTAACCGATTAAAAGACTAAGACAGTTTAAATCGTACAAATATCCAGAGCAGAGTGATGAGGTGCTACATGAAAGTTTCTACACAGTGATGTAACTGGATGATTACTGACAAATACTCAGCTGTACACTTTTGAAGGACTTTGATACGTCGTATTCTAGAAATACCAGGATTCTTTCAATCACTTAGCAAGTTGAAATAGGCAATGACCCACCTTCGTTTCGTGCTTTTTGATACTCGTAAGGAGCATATATCCGCTACAAGAAAGAATCTGGTTTTCGCCTTGTGAGCGGAACTTGTTTCATTCCATTGTGAAGTCCTCCACCCGACCAATAAGCTATTCAACCTATGACTGATCCACAGTAGAAGTGAATTACTGATATGTTGTAGCAAGCACAGCGCACCACAATATCATATCGACTCCGTCGGTAGGTCGCATATTCCAAATATAATCCAAAGATTTATTCAGTAACAAAGACTGAACTACTACACTGAATGCTATCCGGTTACCAATTCGGTATAAACAAGTTCGTTGGTGAACAAAAAGAAGAATATATTAGTGTTGTGCTATATCGCCGAAGCAGTTGCAGAGAGTTTCTTTTTAAGCAGTGGTGATACAGTGAGTTCTTTTCTCGTGTGAATAAGAAAAACAAGAAGAAGAGATATTTCCTTTCAAGCTGTACAGCCATACTTTTAATCCTTAAAATGTCAGATAAATTCACCAAAAATGTTACTCAGTCAACATACACATGATACAGCTGGCGATGATGGTGGGAGGGGGACTGGTTCAAGTGGAAGAAGTAGAAAATGAGTCATTGAAAAGGAAGAATTGATTTCAAGTGGCCAAGTGCTATCAAAGAAGTGTAAAACGATGATAATTAAACTTAAGTATACAAAGTGAAATGAAGTGAAATCGGTAAACTAATCAGAATGAATTTTTTACGCCCAGAAAGAAAGAGGGGTTTCATATGATGTTTTTGGGTTTTGTTCAGATATAGCTAGTTCTTTAGGTATGTATAAGTGGAGAAAACACAGACGGTTGGAGTAGTTCAGTTCAGCTGTGTAAATTACTTTGAAAGGCCAGTCTTAAGGAACCGAATGACCTAACTGCATTAGGAGTACACATATGAACGGAGTTCTTGTTCTTCGGTAGCCTTTGGTTAACCAAACCTGGCGGTGTTTACGGAGGACTCGCTTACAAAGTATTATAATTCGTACTATTTTAGAAATGGTTAGTTAATAAATTTAACAAGTGCTCCCATTCTGTGTCTAAATAGGTACCTATGGGTGCATGACTGCTGTAGGGTGACTGATATTCATCACCTACGAACTAGAATCTAGTAACTGAGTGTCATCGGGAACTGACGTGTAATTTTTTTAAAATAACATTTATTGGCGTAACTTGTTGAACAAGAGGTAAATATCGTATCTATGTAGCATAGGTTTGAAGCAGTCAGTCGATTAGTACAAACATGAGACCAAGCATTGCAGCTTAGCGGTTTACGTTGTTTAATGTTACATCAGTACGTCAAGATACAAAGCAAGAAGACAGGACATAGAAGGGTAGAGAGAATAAAGTCGAGGGTCATGGAACATCTTACGAAGTAGGGTTGAAGCAGATGATCACATGTCACACAGTGTTAAAGATGAAGACAATTTATGGATGCATATGCACCACTGTCACTAATTCCAAGCCATGTCGCTTAGTGTTTCCAAATACTGACTTCGCTTGTCTTGTTGACCCCAACCGGGAAGTTTGCATTTCCCGACTGGGCTCAGCGTGAGTCAGAAACCCCAAGAACTAATGGGTTGGTTCATTTCAGCCATCTGTAACCTTCTTCTAGCCTGAACCTATTCCAGTTAACACTGAGCGATCAAGTAGACGGGGATAGGCATGTGTAACACATATCCCAGTCGTCTTAGTTAATAACGGTTTACAAACTCATCAACTGACTATTCTCTTTTGACTAAGACTTTACACCAGATTTGTACATTACTAAATTGGTGGTTGCGAGAAAAGTCGTTAACACAACTGAGGCAACGGTGATCGAATACTACAAAACCTTCCTTTGTCCACTTTCAATAGCCATGCTTTACAACCATGGAGTAGAACACAGTAAACCCATTCCATCTACTTCTGTCAAGAAAGTTTGATAGTGGAACTGACTGTTCAGACAGACAAACATGAAGAGAGCTGTCACTGCATCTTATACACGCTTTCGTGGTTAGCATAATATAAAGTGACGAAATTTCGCAGATTTGTGACGTACATTTATCCGAAAGGCTTCAACAATCTAGTTGCTATCTCCGTGACTTTTTTCATACACATTTGATGGAAGTTAAACTAACTACTTTTCTGTGAAATACAGAAAATACAGCAAGTTGTCGTAGAGTCATGACTCACTGGTTTGAGGAGTTGGCATTTCAACTATTGGGTCGTAGGTTCAAACACCGATCCGTCTACCAAGGTTTGATACCCCAAGTTACTGTCATTGGCCCTCGCATACTATATATGGATCACTGCCTACTACACAAGATAGCTGAGTGGATTCCGACAGTAAACAGTATGAATTCTTTAGTTGAATTGATACTGTTATGCAATTCAGTCAGTATTCAGTGTTCCATCAAAACGCTCAACACTTTACTCACTCAAGGCAGTGAATTTTTACAGCTTTTCTTAAAACTTACTTTAAAAGAATGTTCAGGTTCTGTGAGTGTTGACCAATAGGTTCTCGTTGCTCACTCATCCACACAAGGAAATCCGAGAACATTATTCATTCTTTGCATCTTTACATGTAAATGAAAGTAATTGTTTAAGTTAAGCGTCTGTTTTGGATTCCTGAATAAAATCCACTTCTATCTACAAATGATTTGACGCAGTGTATGGTGTGTGTTACTGAGTGATTACGTCATTCGAAAAGTACTTATATCAAAAAGTAGTGTTTTTT